AAAAAAAAATTTAAATATATTGGCAGAGTCCGAACCGAGAAATCTTGGAAGCAAAATGAGCTATTTTTGACCCTTATTTGGTTCATATCTTTGTCAAACGTCATGAGATCGAGCTGAAAATTTTACCATAGCCTCCTTGCTTCAGCCCCAACATATGCTCCAAATTTCAGCCCATTTGAATGTACCTGGGCTGAGATCGGTTTTTGAAGGGGGTGACCTTAATACAAAAACAAAAAGACAAACTATAAATGAACATTTCAAATGAAAATATGTAAGTAAATACATTTAGAAATTAGACTAAGAGTGATACCATTTCTGGCAAAAATAGTAAATAGAAATGAGAGCTTAGGACAGAAATAGTAAATAGAAACGAGTGTTTTTGGCAGAAGTAGTAAATAGAAACGAGTGTTTCAGGTAGAAATATTAAATAGAAACGAGAGTTTCTGGCAGAATAGTAAATAGAAATGATAGTGTTTCTGGCAGAAATAAAAAGTAGAAACGATCGAGTTTCAGGCAGAAATAGTAAACAGAAACGATAAAGTTTCTGATAGGAGTTCTGTTCTGTTACGGAGCAGATATCATAATCAATATAATCTGATCAAAAAAGACATTATACTTAGTTTCACGTAGTTGCATTTAGACCAGGCGCACCAGAAATTAATCAAAAGACTAGGGAAAAATTTCCCAGAAACAACTTACATTTTTGCGGGGGGCTGGACCCCCAGCTCCCCCCCCCCTAATCGGACCCCATGATTGCAACATGGAAAAAGCAATCGAATGATCAATTAACAGATTCATTTAAACCAGACTTTTGGATTCAACACAAATGGTAAGCATCTATTAGGTACCTTATCCTTCGAAATTTTTATCCTAAACACGCACCAACACACCAACTAAAAACTCCGTCATTACAGAAAAATACAAGTATATATAGATATGCATTGTTCAGAACTCGAAAGAGAAGATAATACGAAGAAGATATCATATCAAAGAGAAAGAGAGCATATCAAATATCGAACGTTATGTTGTGTCAGAGAATAAACGAGTAGATGGAACGAAATACAGCAAATGACCACAAACACAAACTGAAGAAGAAAGATCAAGAGCTAAAGATACAAGGAGAAAATCGATAACTAATTGGAAAAATTACAATCGTATTGAAAATTAGAATGTCGATGAATCCTGATCACAAACACTAATTCAAATATTATTACCTTTTTCTTTGATAGATAGAATTTGTCAGTGTCTTCAGTCTGATGAAGAAAATACTCAAATTTCATTAAGCCAACTCAAAATAATATAAGCAATGTCTATCATAGTTTTGTTTAATAATAAAATCGCTAATGTATTGGTATTTGCGAAAAGCGTTCTATTTCATTGTACATGATCTTCACGAAATTCTCAATGATGGTGCAATATTCCATAAAATTTTATTGTTATGTAATAAACTTAACTCATTTTTTTACAATATTACAAAACTCTGAGAAAAGTCTATGTTTTAGATAAAAGACCGATTCTATATTTTCCATTTTACAACTTGTTGTGTTCTAAGTACATTTATGTTCAGATCTTGATTTTTCAAGAAATGTTGTATCTCGATAAAAGAGTTTGAGTGAAAATTTTCTAAGTGAATAGTTAAGACAAGTTTAAATTAAAAGTTATTCCAAAAAAGAACAATCATTCCAAAGGACAAGGAATATATATATGGAAAGAATGATTGGTACCTTAAAAAAGTTACGAAAAATCGATATTTGTTGACAACACAGCATGGAACATTACATTTCTACTTTTTAATTACAAGTTTGATGATTATTTAGGTTTGTTGATTTTGATGATGGCATACTTTATACAACGCCACACATCATAAGAGAACTAATGTTATCTTCACATGAAAAGCTATTATCTTGGTCTCTTCGAGCATTCAATAGATACGATCATGTAGAAAAATTAACGCTCGATTTCAATACTGACTTTCAATGGCTTAATGGAGCTTTATCATCGTTTATATTTCCGAATGTTTGTCATTTATCATTATCATTTCCAAACGACTACTATGACAGCAACAGTGATGGTTCTTATTGTCATCTTCGTAACCATCTGAGTACAGTCCAGTATCATTCAGTTGGGATTTTTTTGAACGAAATTTTGCCATTATCGAAGCTACAGTCATTGACTATGTTCAACTTACTACCAGAAAATTATTTGATCCAATTATTTAGTAGTACGACAAATTTAACAACACTAGAGCTTGACGATTGGCAAGATGAGATATTAAATCGAATGTCTTTGCGTAAAGTACCAGTAATGCAAATCTCAACTATCTTTCAGGTTTATCTACATTTGATCTCATCGACTTTATGTTTCAAAACAGGCTATTATTCAAAAATATTCAATATCTCACTATAACTGACATAATGCATCGTACACTAAATATTGAAAATGTCGAAAAATTTATTCATATATTTGATAATAATCGGCTTCTGAAGGTATTACATATTGAAGTGAACGACAAATATCCTTTTCCAATATTACAATTACTATTAAATGAAATAAACTCATTGTCATTTATAAGCATTAAATCAGATATGTTGAGATAAGAAGTTCAAACAATATTGGAATACTTAAAAGAAGTATTAAACGGGATTGAATATCAAGCAAATATAGAGCAGGACATATTATCAATTTGATTCTAGTTTATGAATGTGAGAGAATATGAAGACAGAGTGTGTCTATAGTTAAAGAGACAATTCACGCTGTTTTTAGGTAAGTGTTTATTGTCTAGGCATTTGTGTTAGTTGTATGTTCTAATAGATGTTCTGACTGTGTGTAACGAAATGTATCATCTTCATATATCTCTTTCTTTCTATTGACTTTGTGACTGTTCTCTTCTTGTGTGACCACTACGCTTGACTACTATTCATTGTCTATCTTCCCTATATAAGCGTATGTTTTTGTATGTGAACGGTACGATTTGTTGTGGAAAGAAGCCAAATAAAACAAGTATTACTATCTCACGAGCACTTCTTCTCTTCTCAACTTCGTCATCTAGATCTTGGACATCAAAAGAAGAGTGATCCTACCATTGAAACGCTACCAATTAGATTATTCAATTTGACACACATTTCTTTAAGTGTATGTGATATATCTTTTGATAAGTTTGAAATATTCATAAGAAAATTAGATTGTAAATTGAAAGTATTACGTTTTACCAATGAAACTGAATATCGATTATCTTAATGCTAATCGATGGGAACGATTAGTTTTACAAAACTTACCTTATTTAGAAGAATTTTATTTAAAGTACTATATGAAACATGATAGTGAATATGAATCTTCAACATATATTAAAGATTGTTATCTATTCACTTCATCATGTTGGATTAAACGAAAATGGATATTGCAAGCTGAAATTGGCTTTTACTTAACCGTTTATTCAATTCAACCAAACAATTAGATCAAAAACAGTCTTTGATATTGATTAAATTTTATATTTTCCTTTTAGAAAAAGATGGTATGATTTTAATTTTTCTACTTCAATTTCTAAATCTTCTCGAGTTTTTCTTATATATTTTCCTGATCCTGATGATCAACATTTAGAATTAATAGCGATAGATATTCGTAGTATATTAAACATGACAGAGATTTATCATTTTAAAATTTATTGTGAAGTCTTTTTTGATGTATTAATTAAAATTTCATATAAATTATCTGAGCTTAATTCATTACAAAGTCCTTCGCTGTCATTATCATCAGATAGATCAATAACTATGACAGAAGAATTATTAGTATAATTATTATCTTCGCTCATTACGTATTCATATTTCAACAGCAAATGATGAAATGGTTAAAAAATTAAAACAAATGATTTATTATCAGAAACTAATTCTTAACTATACAATTAAATATCTACCTGTTTATATTTATTTAAAATTAGAATGATTATCATTAACATTGTATTTATTTTTAAGTATAAATTTTAAATAAATATGAAATATTTAACTTTCTTAAAATCTAACTAGATCAAGTTATATCTCTTATTTTAAATAGAAAACCTTTAATTAAATTATTTGTTTCATTTGAAAGATCTGAAAAGAGGAGAAAAGATCTATGGCGGTCGCCGCTATTGAATACAGCGGATGTGTTTTAGAAAATTTTTTCATATATTTTCTTCTTGTTGCTATCGGAGATGGGCATGTCAGAGCTTTTTAACGTTCAAGTCAAGTCATTAATTATCAAAAAACTTTTCAAGTCAAATTAAATAAAAAAATGATTACATATTCTCATCTAGACATTGATTATCTGAAGTACATGAAGGAATTTCTTTTTGTTTGTTTCTCCTCACGTAGTTAAGTTTAGTGTAGACAAGTATTAGTTGCATAAATCACAAATATATATACATTTTTTTTATTTCACTTGTCAATTGACTTGTCCATCTCTAGTCGCTAGAATGGACCCGAATCAAAAATTAATATATCTGTTTATCTAGAAAAATAAATATTAAACTTCTTCTTTGTCTTTTCATAAAACATTCAAATTTTCATTGTTTATATCATGAACAAAAATATATTTCATTTAGAAAGTTGCATTAAGAATTATATTGATATCTTCTTATTGAAAACTATCATCTAGTTTAATATCTTGAAGAGACTATGAGTATGGGGTATGGGTATTTGTATTCTCTTCAGCCACAACCACGATGTCGTAAATACCAATGATGTGGGCGTAGAAGTGAGTGTGGGTGTTTGTTATATCATCTTACTCACATCCATGCCCACAAATTCATATAAATTCTTGAGTTAACACTTCGGTATGAGTAAAAACTAGTGTCATCAAAACTGACATAAGCTAAATAGTAATCAAACAAATCATTAAATTTTCATTGATTACTAAAATATCAATTAGATTCTAATTCAAAATGAAAATATTAGTATCAATCAAAACTTATGTTATTTTTCACAATAATAATTTAACTTTATTTCATTTAATTTCAATAAATTTTTTCAAAGACATGCACTTCTATCAATATTAAATTTTTCAACCCGACCAGTACGCTGATTCGAAGCATACACATTTCCATTTCGATCAAATGCTAAATTAGCTGGTTGACTAAGAGTATATTGTTGTTCACCTATGATAATTGTACCATTTACATTATCTGATGTCCAACGTACGATTCTGTTATAATATCCATCGATTGAATATAAATGACCCAATTGATCGACATAAATTGTTTTAGGCCATCGTAATTTACCCAAAACGATTCCTTCTTTCGCACCTTCTATCCATTTGACAATTCGGTCATTATAATAATCCGCCACATAAACAGTTCGATTGTGATCAACAAAAACATCTGCAGGTTCATATAGTTGATCAAGTCGATTACCTTTACCATTCCCACCTGCCACTACTTGATCATTTGTTATATTGTCGCCTAATATCCATCGAGTAACTCGATGATTGTCATGTTCACTAATATATAATAAACCTTGATCATCCAATGCTAAACCAGTACAATAGAGCTTATCAATAAGTATTTTTCCTTCTTGAGCACGTTGTGACCATCGAACAATTCGTCGATTTCTTGCATCACATATGATCAAACTTCCATCTTTTGGATCCATCAACATATCTGATACCTAAAAAAAACAAGATTTAATATTTTTATTAAAATAAAATCTATTTTTAATTTGTTAGATACCCAACCAATTTGATCAGTTCGATTTCCTTCTCCATTATCTCCAGCTACAATAGCTCCATGTTGAGCATCTGGTTGCCATGTTACAATACGAGCATTTCCATTATCAGCAATATAAAGAGTATTCGTTCTCAAATCCAATATAATCGGACCTGGATTTCGAAGTTGATGTAATCCAGTACCAGTAAAATTACTTCCAGCAACCGTTATACCATTTTTTGCCCAACTTACATTAACACAAATCTCTTCAACTGTTACTGATGGTAATGAAGTTGAAGCTATTCAATTACAAATCATTATTTAACAAATAAAAATGTCTTTACTTACTTGAAGTTGGATATAATGGTGGACAAAGATCGAGTGTAGCCATACCTGTTGGATAACACAATGATTGATCTGATGATAAACTTGGATGATGAACACAAACAGTATATGGGTGATCACAATAATAACTAATTTCATTACATGTTCTTAATTTTGAAACATTTAAATGAAGAAAAGCACAAATTCCACTTTTGTCATCGGATGATGAAAAAGGAAGACAACCACAATCAGGATTAGTTGAACAGGGAGCATAGAGTGATAAATTCCGACATGTTTGACCTATTGTCAAAACTAAATAATACAAGAATTAATAAATAAAACATGAATGAGGAAATTATACCAAATAAACTAAACAAACGAGAAGAAATAATTTATTAGAAAGTTAGTGAGTAAAACTAGTTACCTTTCTAATAAAATAAAAAAGACAATCAGGGTTGAAGACATCCTTACTTTTACAAAATGATTGTAGTTGGTGCAAATCAGATCAATCAATCCTTCATTTTTTTGTCATTTGATACGCATCGTAATTGAAAAAAATCGTAAGGTAAGACTTGATCATGATGATGCGTATTAAAAAAAAGAAGGACAAAATTGTCACATCACTATTTCAATGTCTTATTAAGAAACAATCAAACTAATCTTCATCATTCTCGGTATCTTCTAAAATTGAATATTGTTTTTCATAAAATGTTTGATCAATACGATCATTATTATCATTGAATAAATGCACCTGAACTGATACATATTGTAATCTGATTATATCTTTACAGAGAATACAATGATATATAGTCGTGAATTTGTGTTGACGACGTGATAAATATCGGGTGTTTCAAAAGTCGTGATCACTCAACAAATGCGTATAACTTCTTCACTGATCTAGCTTTATCTAACATTTTTTTATTTCAGAGAGGAGAGTTTTAAATTTTTGTTCCGTAAAGACAAAGTTCAAAGATGCCCTATAAAGCTGAGGGTGAGGGTGAGTGAGTGGGTGGTTGAGTAAGATAAAGACAAAGAAAAAGAAAATATGTCCAATATTAATCGCCATTATAATACTCTCGAATATCATCTATACTATTATCGACTGATTCGCTACTCAGTTTCAACTATTCAAACATGAAATTGGCATGCAATCGCCATTCAGGTATATTAAGAACGTGAAGATAAATTTGGCCAGTTGGGTGTGTGGTGTGGGTGTGGGTGTGGGGTGTGTGGGTGTGGGTGTGTGGGTGGGTGTGGGTGTGTGTGGGTGTGTGGGTGTGGGAGTGGGTGTGGGTGAGTGGGGTGTGGGTGAGTGTGGGGTGTAGGTGTGGGTGGGTGTGGGTGTGGGGTGTAGGTGTGGATGTCGGTGTCGGTGTGAGGTGTGGGTGTGTGTGGGTGTAGGTGTTGGTGTGGGTGGGTGTGGGGTGTAGGTGTGGGTGAGTGTGGGTGTGAAGTTTAGGTGTGGGTGTGAAGTTTAGGTGTGGGTGTCGGTAAATGTGAGTGTGGGATGTGGGTGTAGGTGTGACTATGGGTCGAAGTCTTCTATTCAAATCCACACCCCGCACACCCACACATATGCCCACATCCCGCATGCCCACACCCACCCACATCCACACCCCACACCCACACACCGACATCCACACCCACACCCCACACCCACACACCGACATCCACACCCACATCCCACACCCACACACCGACATCCACACCCACACCCAACTGAAATAGAGAAAGTTGAATAAAAATCAAACTGTGATACTTTTGTTAAGTATTTCTTTATAAAATTCTTCTTTAGAAATAGTAATAAAATATATTGACTCAAATATGCCAGCATGTCAGTTCGTCTCTTTGAATATAAGAACATAATATTTTTCACAGAATAGGACAAGTAGATTAGAAGTTATAAGAGCGGTATAGAGTTTCCATTTATGAAAGTATTAGAATATGTACTTTTCAATTTTAAAGCAATTAAGCTTAAAATATCACCTGTGTTTTAGAAATAAAAAAGAAGAGACACCTCCATGATACTGCTTCATTTCAACACAAGTAATGATGAGAATTGTATTCGTTTATTTCGTTTTCATTCTTCTTAAGTAAACACCATTGATTTTTATTTTTATTTTATTCTTCTAACATTTATCGGTTTTCTATTTTAGTATTACAGATTTGATTTTCATTCCATTGTACATATTTAGTTATTAATTTGTTTCATTGATAGTTGAAATAAAATCTCAAATATGTCATGGAGTTTCTCAATATGGTCAATGTTCGACAAATGGTGCATGTGGCTGTTTCCATATGGCAGGTGCTGTTGATACTGGCATTTGTACTTTTCAATTAGTTGATTGTTCTGAGCTACGTCCATGCACAAATAATCGTTGTGATGAACCTGATCATATATGTGTCCATCATCCTCAATGTCATCAACTTCCTGTTTGTTATCCAGTGCCAAGTTACAATAAAAAACTCTGTCCATCGATATCACGTAAGAGAACAAACAATTATCTATAGAGTCAAGAGGAACTCTAACTTCTTCATTGTTTACACACCATTGATATATGCAGTGTGCAAACTGTAAAGAAGAGTTGATAATCATTTGAAAAATTAGCTAAAGCAAGACAGAGGGAATGAATTATATTTAGTGAAAAAAAGAAGGTCTCTTCTCATATCATGAATGATATCCAATCGTCTTAGAAACAGAATTTGCCCCACTTTATAGAGCAAATTGTGAGGAAACAGTGACCCAGAGATGCATTATCTTCCAAAAAATCAAAAACTGTCTCCTCCACGAGAAATTTTTTTCCAAAATTTTTTCCAAGCTATTTTATCTTCGCCGCTTGCAGACCGACTTTATTTGACATAAAATAGAATTAAAGAAACATAGCAATCTTTTGCTGTATTCATACAACACAGGACTTCTTCCTATATGTTCTTTTCTGTGGCAGTCCACAAAAACTGAACCAGATGAAACTAATTTGAATATATGACAATGTTTTTCTTGTAATTGAACGGAATAGTTGCAGAGGGTGGACTTGATGAATGGACAGAAGTACAGAATCTTCCAAAAAATCAGAACAATCTCATTCTTTTCTATTCCTTTCTTCGGTCACGATATAGGGCAGCAAGTGGTAAGAGAGTGCAAAGAAATCTATGGGAAAAGTTTGCCAAGAAGTCATACTTCGACAGTAACGTATGTCTTTTTTAACGAGATTAAGAACAAAGCATGCAAGTAAAGCAACAAACGCAAAAGAATGAATTATACTCTGTAACAGTTAATTATGAAGAGAACAAGATTTTCCCCTTCCAACAGTTCTCGTTCCAAAATTTCTCCAGTGTGACAATTTTCCAAAAATTTTCCCGGATAACGCAAGTTTTTAAAAAATTTCCTTCCTCGCCCGGAAGCCTATGAGGAAGATTCTGCGCCTCTGCAGTGATCATTCTTTTCGAAGTCTCTAGTTAAACTTTACCATGACAAAATAAGTTTTTGAGAGAAAAATTTTCGTAGTCCAAGTTGATTGATGGCATATCTTTAATTTACAATTCCGCTTAGACTTCATCTAAGACTTCGATTCAATTGACTTCTATATCCCATTCTATCTTATACCAATACTATCTACTTTATTTACATAAATGTTTTCTGCTGATATATAGTGACGAACACCACAATTATAACCACAACTACAGCTAGACCTACAACTACTACCCAGAAGTTCGGTAAGTTTTACATTAACGTATCTTAACCTTACTAAATGCTAATCGAAAATCAGATATATGTAGTTACTCTGCATTTTATGTTAATCTGCATTAAAACTAATATACAAATAAGAGCGAAGAATTATTTCTAAAAAAAGACGTATATGGTTTTCATTATTTAGAAGAGATGATGAAATTGCATCAATTAATATGTGCAAGATTTTTCTGACAAATTTTTCCAGAATTTTTCGACATATCTCTGAATAAGAAAAGGTTCCGTTGAATAAAAATTTTGAGATTCTAATTTTAAGAAGTTGATTAGAATCGCTAACTACAGATTAACCCTTTCGCGGACGGTGACATTCTTTCCTTTGTTACAGGTGCCAAGTTGCACTCGATGCAAAACTTTCAACACTAGTTCATGGTTTGCCTAAAAAATCCCGAAAAAAGAAGTTTTTTAGTTCTACAGGACTTGTACATTTTCCCCCCTTTCCTTCTTTTTGCCAGCATTATAGTATGGTACCATCACATCCTCATGACTCGTGATCCGAAGAAGGAAACGAAAACGAGTCTGGAATGTAGGCAATGCAATATTGACTTACGCATAGCACCCTGTTGTTTTGAGACCTATCATATATCCAGATAGTTCTCATAAAAATTATATTATAAAGGGCTGAGCCTATTGCGTGCCGGGGTTTCTATCAATAGAAAAGACTACTTTGAATTTTAGACGCACAAGTTTTTTATAATAATTTTTTCATTAAAAATAACCCTGGTGCTAAAGAGTTAATCAGATCTATCAATTTATGCAAACTCGACATTATTCTCACCGAAAATCAGATTGGTTCCTTATTTTTAATGGAAGAGATCAGATTATACATCTATAAAAAGTTTTGGTTTTTTAAAAAACTTGATGATGAGTGCTGAAGTAATTTGTGGAAACAATCTGACATATAAGATTTGATATAGTTTCGTTGTCTCTTTTAAATAATGAAAACTACAGATTGTTATCTTGTTCCTGTCTTAATATATTATCAAAATATCCAATGTCCTTTTCTTTCGAAATAGATCATAAGTGATGCCCCAGAAGTTTTGTTACAATTTTGAAATTTATTATTCTCGCATTCAATAAAAGCAAACTTCTTGAAATTTTGTTAGATTATTGTACATATCAATTACTAGTTAACTACAAAGTTTGAGACCTGTAGCTTTTTACTATGGATGAAAACTAGTAACAACACTATGATGTACTGTTTTTTTCTAAATTTTTCTGATCATCTCTTCCATTATAATAATTCATGAAGAGAAATAATTGTAACGTTACAAAATGTATCTACAATGTTATATATATTATCCACTCTAAAATTCTACATAAGTTTCATCGATGACAAATACTTTTTACTGTTCTGAAAACGGCAGAAGATCAGATAAAATTTAGGATTATAATCAATTTCAGTTGCATTTTATCTAATTCGAAAGAAAATTTACAGAAAATTCACATTTAGAAAATAAGATGATTTCGATGAAATGAAGAACTTTGCCATTCATTCATTCATTTGTGGATTTTTCTAATGAAACAAAAAATATTCTAAGTTCTATTTTATAATTAAAAAACATAATTGTTCAAGATGACTCTCACTCTCTCTTAAATGTTGTTCAAAAAACAGATCAAGGAGAGAAACTAACTGATTTCAACCTAATCGATGATATTTTTTTGTTTCATTTTAGTACCACTACGAGCATCTGGTATTGATATTGCATCGAATGCAAAATGGATACAAAATGGTCTAACTGTGGCTGGAGGAAATGGAATGGGAATTGAACTTAATCAACTCACTAGTCCCTTTGGTTTATATATTAATGATAATCAAACAATGTATTTCGCTGATTTTACTAATCATCGTATTGTGGAATGGCAATATGGTACAACGCGTGGAAAAGTAGTTGCTGGTGGAAATGGAAAAGGAAGTGGACCTAATCACCCATGGAGTAAAATATTCAAAGAAACGGACTGCGTAACGCGTTTCTGAGATTGCAGCATGCGTTTCGCAGCGTTTTTTCAATATAGAACGCGTTTCACAGCATTCTTACTTCGATAGAATGCGTTTTGCTGCTGTCGTTTTTTGAAACGATCTGAAACTCGTTTTTCCAAGATTGCGTTTCGAAGCGTTTCCGAAGTAAAATAATGTCGAACGCATTTCGGTCGATAGGTAACGCGTTCCAGAGACACAGATTTGGAGAAATGTGAAACGCGTTTCATTTTCAAACGCATTTTGCATCGTTTTTGTTTGAAATGATGCAAAATATATCCGTTTTGTATACAGAATCTTGCAGGAATTTATCTGCCCAAAACGTACGAGTTAAGCAAAGTTAATTCTGGCACTATTTTAGAAATTATACTAAATGGGATTTGAATATTTTGTTCCTTGCACTGTTTCTCAACATGGAAATCATGACCCAAACTTTCCAAACGCAAAATTAAAATCGAATTCTTCTAAATGTTTAGGCTGCTAGACTGTTCTATAAGTCTGATTGGTAGTTAGAGTAATATTGAACATCAAAGTATAAGAAAAATATTTTTTTTCTTCCTTGAAAACTCATTTCACTAGGTTTTTATTGCAATAAAACGTGTTTCGTAACGTTCAACCAAGCATTGTTTTAAATATTGAACAACTCGAAAAGATTTAGTAAAGACTGATGCTAGTATAATGTGTACGACAACTTTGTTTGTTTATTTGTGAAGAAAAGAATCTCGAGTTATTTATAATTTGAATAATTATTGGTATGAATTCATATTTGGACTACTTGATAGTAACTGATGATATTGTGTACAATACTATTAAATATGAATTTAGTTCGTACTTCGTTAATGTAAGCGTGACTTATTAATAAAAAGAATATTCGATTTACAAAAGAAGATTCTTTGCATTTAGTGATACTTTTGGATAAAAGGATGACGAATTTACATATACAAAAATCTATCAAATAAAGAAAACAATTCAAAAAATTTATTTTTAGATTTCTTAAAATTTATATCTAAGAGATTCAACTTGTTTAAATATTAAATACAATTTAAATTAATTAAAATCGTTTCAATTGGGTATTTAAAATTAAAATTTAAACAAGTTCAAATAAAAAATATACCAAGAGGAGATCAAACTCGTTATTGGGTATAGGCACCAAGGAAATGATAATTTTTAATTTAATGGTTTGGGACACTGAAAATCTAATTTAGTAAGTTTACGGAAGACTCTGAAAGACTATAGAATAAGCACTTATATCATTAGATTATTTTAGTTGAACGGTTTGTACACATGTCTTCTACTCTTATGTTCTCGTGTTCGAATCTATGTGTTGGCGTTATCAAAATTGATCTAAGTTATAGCTCTAAAGGTGTATGAAAAATGTAAGCGAGTAAATTAATTGTATCTGCAACTCAAAGTGCATGAAGTACTTGACGGTTTTCATTTTTTTCCATCTAGAACATACGATACCACAGTTAGAGAAACGCTACGAAACGTTTTTAGAAAAACGATCGTTTCACAGCGTTCGTATTAGCAGATGTGAAATGCGTTAAACCGGTCAGCATTAACGCGTTTCGCAACTGTGGAAAAATGCGTTTTGAGAACGCGTTTTTTTCGCAGAAATTTACGCCATGGGCAGTTAAATGGCCCAGTTGATGTGATTGTCGACCAAGAGAGAGATAATCTCATCATTTGCGATAACAGGAATAGAAGAGTAGTTCGATGGTCTCGTCAAAATGGTGCTACTAGTGGAGAAACAATTATCTCGAACATCGATTGTCGAGGTTTGACAATGGACGAGAGTAGATTTCTCTATGTTACTGAACGTACAAAACATGAAGTGAGACGATATAGAATTGATGCTGGTGATACTAAAGGACAAGTGATTGCAGGTGGAAAAGGGCAAGGAAATCGTCTCGATCAACTTGATTCGCCCCAACACGTATTTGTCGACCGAAATCATGCAGTGTACGTGTCTGATAAGCAAAATCATCGTGTGATGAAATGGGAAGAAGGTGCAAAAGAAGGTATTGTTGTAGCTGGTGGTCAAGGAAAAGGAAATAGTCTTACACAACTGGATAGTCCTCAAGGAGTTGTTGTCGATCAATTGGGCACTGTCTATGTGGTTGATTGTTTTAATGAATGAATAATGCGTTGGCCAAAAGGAAGCACAAATGGAAATGTGATTGCTGGTGGAAGTGATGAAACAGAACAGTCAAAACAATTAGATTGGCCCATTGGATTATCATTTGATCAGTACGGCAATCTCTATGTCGCCGATACCATGAGTAATCGAGTACAAAGATTTAATATTGAATAGACGATAAATTAATTAATGATATTTATTTGTCTGTCTGCTTGAAAATGATTTCCATTGAATAAAAAGGAAAAAAAGAAAGGATATTCGCTGCGATTAATTAATACTTAGATCTGACCAAAAATTCTAAGAACGCTATTGACAATTTTATAAACCAATTAACATTGAAGCATTTTTTTGTATGAATAAATAGTGCAAATGTCTTGTCTATAATAGAATATATACTATATCTATTTTGGATTTAGCAACAATATTTTTTCAGATAAACTTTAATTCGAACTAAAAAAACAAAAAAAAATTTAACAATGGATAATGAATTCAATCGATACTATATAAAAACTTGTACTATTTTGGAAGTAGATCCAAAGACAATTCACGAAGAACTTGCAACAGCTATGAGAACTAATACTCCATCATATCCAACAGTTGCAAGGTGGACAAAGCGTTTCCGTGAAGGAAGAGAAGATGTCAATGATGATCCTTGATCTGGTCGTCCGGTATCCGAACTTACAGATGAATATA